TGTCACGCACTGTGCCAGGCGCGGGCACACGGCGTGGACGGGCCGGACCAGGTCCCGGGGGGAAGTGACGGTGTCCAGGCGCTGAGGGCTGGAGGGGCACCGCGAGGGCATCTTGGCTCTCACCTCGTTTCAGTCTTCGCTGGAAAGTCCCCTGCGCTCTGCCCAGGGTGAAGCCTTCCCTGACCTGCGTAGCCACATCCTCTCTCTCTCTTCACTTCCAGCTTTACACTTTAGCGTCTAATATTTTAAATCATGTTCTTTTTCATTCGGTTATTGTGCCCCCTCCCCGCCCAGTAGAAACCCTCCAGGGCAGGGTCTCTGGCTTAGCCCCCAGGCCTGGCACACAGTAGGCACTCAGTGAATATTTATGGAATGAATGAATCTAACCATCACCAACCAACCTGTCCATTGTGAAACATCTCCTGCTGCAGCAAAGATGAACCTTGAACCTCTCCTAAGGAAAGAAGCCAGATACAAAAGGACACATGTGTATGACTCCATGTGTATGAGAGGTCCAGAACAGGCAAATCCATAGAGACAGAAAGTAGATTAGTGGTTGCCAGGGGCTGGGGGGAGGGGGGTATGGATGTGTTTGTGACTGAAAGAATAAGGGATTTCTTTGGGGGGATGAGGAAAATGTTCTGAAATTAGATAGTATGTATTGATGATCATACAACTCTGTGAATATACTAAAAGCCACTCAATTATACAGTTTAAAAGGGTGAAAGTTATATGTGACTTATCTATAATAATAAAAGTGTAATATGCTAATTAGACTGGACATCCTTCCAGACGACCTTCTGGAGGAAGCCGGGGCTTCGGGGGAAGCGGGGGTCCGGGTGCCAGAGGGAAGCCGGTGCCAGCAGCTGGGGAAGGAAGACCTACTCTTGTACAAATTTCATGCATCAGGCCTCTAGTATTTCAATAAAGCTTTAACAAAACAAAACCAAACAAAAATCTCTCTTCCTGTTTTTCTATCCCCTGTCTGTCTTCTCCTGAAGGGATCTAGAGCATCTTTCAGGGCTGCATAAAGCATGGCTAGATGCAGCCACTGAAGACGTGTCAGAAAAGAAGAAAACATAAGGGTTGGGAGTCAGCATGACCAGGTACATCCCCAAGGCCTTTCTTTGTCCCTTCTGTTCTAGACACAGCACTCAACTTAGCCCCTTCCATGGATGTTCCAGCGAGGTACTTTGTAGGCCTCCCCTCCCCACCCCCAACCCCCAGGCTAGGCTCGCTCATCGCTCACTCTGTCGCCTCTCTCTATAGCACCACTCACAGAGGCTGCCTTCTGGGTTGGGTGTGGAGGGATCATTTCTGGTGCTAAGTAAGGATGCAACAAGAGTTTGTGCAGTGATGGAAGGATTGTGTGTCTCTAGGCTACAAGAGGGGCAGATTGGCACAGGTTAAGTTCCATCGCATTCTTCTGAGTGAGCTCTGCCTCTGAGCCTCAGTGTCCTCATCTGTGAATGGGGTCAATAAGACAGATCTCCTGCTCTGGTCTCCTTGACCTTCCTATTCCTACTTCAGTCCATTGCCCATCCACATCCTGCACCTCTCTGAAAAGTGTTACAGTTATGGGACTTTTTTTTTTTTTTTACTTTTGACAACTGGGGTTTGTATTAAATATCATTATTTATTCAGGAAAGCATAGAATTTTTTTTTTTTTAATTAAAGGGAGTGTGGTAAAACTAGCCTTGGAATCACCTAGAGCAGTGGTTCTCAACCTTCTGGCCCTTTAAATACAGTTCCTCATGTTGTGACCCAACCATAAAATTATTTTCGTTGCTACTTCATAACTGTAATGTTGCTACTGTTATGAATCGTAATGTAAATATCTGATATGCGGGATGGTCTTAGGCGACCCCTGTGAAAGGGTCGTTGAACCGCCAAAGGGGTCGAGACCCACAGGTTGAGAACCGCTGACCTAGAGGATCTTTTAAATGATGTTGGCACTGCCTGGATTGCTGTCCCCTATCTCGCTCCCCTTTTCTATGGGAACAAACACACGTTCACCCTTCAATACTTTATTCAGGCATCGCCTGTACTCTGAAACCTTACCTACCCATTTTCGACCCTTCCTTGACTCCTCTCTACCCTAAACAGAGCAAATCCCACGTCTTGCTCTATGCCTGTATCTTGACACACAAATCTCTGCCATTACACACATTCATGCACTCCTTCATTTATTAATTCATTCAACAGACTTACAGGGAATTCCTGCTATGTGTCAGGCACTGTGGTAGGTGCCAAGGATAGAAAGAAGATACTTTCAGGGATCTTAGGGAAGGAGGCAAACAAGTAAATGAGCAAATTATGCTTGGTCCTGTGTTAGAGCGATAGAGTGCTGTGGGTGGGAGGTATTCTTTTTCATAGTTAGAGTTGAAGGCTCTCTAGCAATAGATAAATATAAATATGGATACAGATAAAGATATAGATATGGATCACTCTGTATGTATGGATATATCTATATCTGTCTAGAGAGATTAAGTTAAGAGCCTATAGCTTGGCATTGGTGTCACCTCTCAGACGTTGGGCTCTTTATGCAGGAGAACATGCACAACCTTGGGGGAAGCCTGCAGGAAGGGCCTGGGACAAGCTCAGGAATCCACACGTGACCTTGACCTGAAAAACAGGCAGGTTTGGCTAACCCGACTTCATCCTGTTCTCCCTAACAGGTGCAAACACTTAGTGAACCACCCTTTCACTTTCTTTTCTTTAATTGGCATCTTCTCTCAAATTATGTAAGTAATGCATGCTTAACTTGGGAAATACAGAAAAGTCCAAAAGGGAAAATAAACCACCCACGTTTGCACCATCCAAAAATAATAATTGTCAATATTGTTGTCTCTCCCTATTTCCCCCTGATAGACTGTGACACCACTTACATTAACAACTGCTACATACAGCTCCCTAGACTGCTCTCAGCTCCATGTGCTAGACTGCCCTCAGCTCCCTGCACATGTTAACTCACGGAATCTCCTTGACCCTCTGAGGGAGGTAACATTACTTTCCCTGCTTACAGATGGGGGAACTGAGGTCCAGAGAAGTTAAATCACTTGCCCAAGGTCGCAGAGCTTATAAGGAGCAGGGCTGGGCTTTGAACCCAGGCAGTTGGCTACACAGGCTGCCAGCCCGACCTTGCTCTCTGCACGGTCGTGCCGCACTCTGTGCAATGATAAAAGGGATGCTTGCTCCGTGCAGAGAACTTGGAAAACAGGTACGTTCAAAAGCGAAAAAACACCCACCTGAGGAGAACAGCTGTCAGTATTTAAGTGTAAATCATCCCAGTGTTTCCCCCATGCATATATTCACATATTCTCCATGCACCTGTGACAATGAAGTCATGCAGTGCGGGCTTTTTGGTACGGTTCCCCCCCGCCCCCCCTTTTGCAAATAAGAGTTTTTCTCAGATCAGTAAGTTCTGTTCTACAATATGATTGTAATAGTGCATCTGATCCCTGAATTTGGGTCTTGCATTCATCCTTCCTCATTGTTGGGCATCCGGCCGGTTTCATATGATAAATGATGCTGGGTGAATGGTCTTACCCACGTGCCTTTGCACACGTCTGATGGCGAAGTGGAGGTGCTGGCTCAGAGGAATACGTACTTTAAGGCTCTGACCTCCCTCCCGCCAAAGGCTAGACCAGGGGTCCTCAAACTTTTTAAACAGGGGGCCAGTTCACTGTCCCTCAGACCGTTGGAGGGCCGGACTATAGTTTAAAAAAAAAACTATGAACAAATTCCTATGCACACTGCACATATCTTATTTTGAAGTAAAAAAACAAAACGGGAACAAATACAATATTTGTATTTGCATGTGGCCCGCGGGCTGTAGTTTGAGGACCCCTGGGCTAGACTATAGGACCCCTGACAGTGGCTTAGCACTCACTTCTGAGGTCCAGGCCCCAGCAGTGAAACCGGGGCCAGCTACATCATTTTCAGGGTCCGGTACAAAATGAAAACGGGCCCCTTGTTCATTAAGCAGGGAGAAAGCTTTTTCCTTTGTTCGGCAGTCTGTCTCAGCCTGTCATGGTGCATTGCATTTGCTGTTTCATGTCAGGCCCCCTTGGGCATGGGGACTTGTGGAACTCACACCGAGCCTCACAGGTGCCTGGGACCCCACCCTGTGATTCGGGGGGCAGGACCTAGAGGCCCAGCCCCAAGCCTTCCGGCACCTGTGTCCAGGCCCCCTCTGGGAGGCACTGATCTCTGGACAGGGGCAAAGGTGTGAGTGGCCAAGAACCATCCTGGAAAGGCAGGGGGGTGAGGAGAGGCGGGATCCCATACGAAGCGAGGCTCCATGCTCTATTACATGCTCTATTGTCCCATTGGGTTTTGCTTACACAACACAAATTCAGAAGAG